TCGTCCGTACGAGATGTGGATGTTCATGGAAGATTCATTCGATCCTTTTTGATTCATTTCCTTCTTTTCATGCAAAAGAAGATTGGTAAAATGGAAGATTTTTTGTAGTTCTATTTTAGTCCGATGAAGGTAGTCGATTTTATGGTGAGGAGCTTATTTTTGTTTGGTGAATTATGGAACAAGAAATTCGCAGGGATTTCGGATGATAAAGAAGAATTTAATGTTTTTAATTATTAGAGATTCTTGTTAGATCAAAAAATGGGATAGTATGGTGTTGATTTTTCAACTGGGAGTTGGTTTAATGATATAGAGATGCTTGTTACAATTTTGTGAATTATTATGAAGCAAGAAGAAACTTCATGTGAAGTTTGAGGAGATAAGCAAGAGTTGTTGACTGTTAGAGAAATCTGGTTCGCCCAGAAAATGAACTCGTATGAACTATTGGTTCTTGAACAGATAGTTGATTCGATGTTTAAAAAGAGATGTTTGTTAAAACTTGATGAATTGTTATGAAGTAGAAAATGTATAGATAAATTTTGAGAGAAAATAGGGGAATTATCAGTGGCTAGGAAATTCGTGGAGTTAAGAATAAGATGTAACAATATTGTGTGAGATTATATCAAGAAATATCGATTTGATGATAGAAGCTTATTTCTTGTAACTTGGTACTTACAGATAAGAGAACTATGAAGAAAAATTATTAACTGAAGAATTGTTACTAAATGTAATGACTTTAACAATAAAAAAATATCTTACATTATTTAGAAAAAGTTTATCATGAATTTTTATGAAAAAAATGTATCTATACGTCGTCAAAAAAATGATCACGATCTTGGACAATTGATGACTTTTTGATCTAAGAAATAAGATCGTGTGAGATTTAAACTATGGTAGGTTTTCTAATCGAAGAAAGTTTCTTCTGTCGGGGAAAGATTTTTATCGACTGTAAAAGAAAATATTTACACAGATGAATCTTTAATGATGGAAAAATCTTGATTTGAAGTCTGGTGGGTTTGGTTCTGGAACAATTTTGCTCATAATTTGGTGAAAGGTTTGTGCGACTTATTATTCTGAGAAAGATATGTATCTATGTATGAATAATTTATTTTAATTCGATAATAGAACAATGCGTGATATCGTGAAATATACAATAGTTACTTAGTTGTTGGACAATCTTCCTCTTGTAATAATAATTTGGTGAAAGGTTTATATAAGTTATTCCAATAGGAATTTCTAATTGTGTATAAATCATTTCCTTTAACTTAATGAGATTATGTGAGAAAATAATTTATAACATAATGATTCAGTACTTGGTCGACTTCTCCTGTAATTAAGTGAAAAATTTGTGTGAATTATTTTACTACAGATTTGTACTTATATATGAGTAATTTTCTATATATAATAGATATCCTTAATAAATTATTGAAACCTGTTTCTCCTTTATAATCTTTTATAGATACGTTTACATATTACAATATAAAAATATGCCTTATACAATAATTATTAATTAACATTTAATATAAATAATATAATTCTTATAAACAATGTTAATACTCTGTAACCTAAATTCTGTTTGCTCATAAATGACAAAAATTATAGTCTATTAAAATCGTTCACTTTACTTTAAAGTCAAAAAAGTAATAAATATTATGATAAATAATACTTAGTCTCGATATAATAATATATTGATAAAGTACAACGATACACTAGCTATCATATACATAAATAAAAGTCACGTGACACAATATGAAGTTAAACAAAACCAATTATTACATAAAATCGTTAGAAATTTCCGGAATATCAATTCAAATCTCATCGAATATCCCAACACGTTTCAGGAAAACAATTACATCGCAATTACGATGATTTCTCATTTAAATTAATGCGACGACTCAATCTATGGTGGTCGTGCTTACACCAGCCAACCAGTGTAAAACAAAACGAGTACGTGTTTAACAAACGTAACTGTAAAACTGCACGTTTATGTGTGAAAGTTCTTGTTCGTCGTCCAGTGGAAATATCGCCACGAACACGTGAAAAGTCATTATTCCTTTGACCGATTCATATTTCTTTACTTACAACATTGTTACCTATTTAACGCGCGCCGCCAGATTCCACGTTCGTGCTTGCTCGCGATTCATCGCGAATCTTCGGTTCCGTGTGCGCGCGCCGATGATTCTTTTCCGGTCAGAAATTTACCGTACACATCGTGCCGTGTATTTCGTCTAGCGTGAAATATTCATCATGGAACGACGTCGTTCAAAGATACCATGTTTTCTAGAATCTTACGAACAGATTTACGCGTGGCTTATGTTAAAAGCGTGAAGTAGGTTGGAGATTGTTTAATTGGATAATTAATCGTGTAGAAGGAAGGTTCGGTGAGCGAGTTATACGGATGAAATATATTAACGTTATGTGGTTGATAGGAAAATTAATTTGGATGTAAGGGGAGAGTTGTCTAATCCACACCGGTCGTATAAATCGTATCTCGACTGTTTCTTTCTTCCTACTGTATACCAGTGAAGTATAACAGCAGATCTATGAGATAAACGATATAGAAGATGTATGTACAATAATTCAGAAATTATATCTTATTTCCTACGTATCTTCGAATATTTCGAAATGTCAATTTCTTTTCTATTTTTCGAACCTATAAACCTATAAAGACACAACTTTCGAAATTTCTATTTTTCGTATTAATTTTAGCAAATTAATAATCGTTGATGTATTACGTTCTTCGTGGTAATCCATTCATCAAAATTCCCTCTATTTGCTTTAATTGATAATAATAAGAATATGAAACATATTTGAAAACTAAGTTTTTCAATTTTTACGTTATATCTTTCTATCTTGAATTGCCATGAATCTACTAAATTCCGTAGAAAGCGCTTTTTTAATAATATCTTTTTTAACTGCAATTTCTTTTTTCTCTATTTTCCTAAATATTTTTATTTTTTGCCATCACACAAAAGAGTATAAAAATGCAGAAAGGAAAGTATCCACGTCTACTAGGTTCAATAGAACCACGTAATACTATAATCAACGCACTCTTGGTGAAAACCGGTACTGAAGAAGTTTCAAAATCGCCAAACACGCGTGATCCATTCATCAAGCGTGGAATTAACCAGAAGTTCAACTTGTTCTTTCAAAATATCCCCGGTTTGTCCACTGAAGAAGGACAAGTTCGTATTACTTCAAGGTCGCTGCACATCGTGAACCACAGAATTTTTCCGGGCTGATCGTCTTAACTGTACTTGATTTACAGACATTCAACGTTACGTCGTATTTTCCTCGGCCAGCGAACGTAACAGGGTCAATTTACGATGCGTTTCAGGTAACAGCGACGCCGGGTTTATTGAGCTATCGCCTGAGATGATGTTGAAAAACGAAAGGACTCGTTTCATTGCGTTTTATTAAGTAATATCACATGCAATAGTTGTTACGATAGTCTGAAAGATTTTATAGCAATATATCTCGATTACATTCTTTTTCTTTTCTTATAATTCGAATATAAGTTATTGTACTGGTGTAGAATTTTTAATTAGATTAGGATTTAAAGTAATAGTAATGGCGTATAAAGTTGATTAAAATTAGAAAATTATTATTAAATATTCTCGGTGTTCAGATAATTTAACGAAAGCATTTGCGACCGTTAGTTTATGTTCTAATAAATTAGTGAATTAACTGCAGATATTAGAAATGTCAGAGTAAACGTTAATTGTGAAATAAAAATGCTACATTATTTTATATGTTACAGCTAGATTGCTGTACTTTGAAATTTACAAAAATTTCTTCATTTCGATATGAATCAATGAATTTAATGAACAAATAGATACTATCTGGATGTTAATTACTAGTGGAATCGAAAGATTAGTATAATCTAATGCAGTAAAAATAAAATTGAAGAATTAGAGGTATAAATCTATTTTATGCTATAATTGTATAAATGAACACTTTGCAGTAATTATTTCGTTGAAACACGAATATTCCAATTAACTGGTGGTATGAATTGTAGAAATATTCAAGTTAAGAGTGCAAGAGAGATGTTTAAGGAATGTTTAGTAAAACGAAATCATTACGGTTAACGTTTTAATAATTATAATCAAGTTATGTAGCTGAAAGAGATATGATAATATGAAATTGAATTTAATTTTAATAAAATTTAAAAAATTAATTCAAAGCTTTAAATTATATTATATAAGAATGATTTCATTTATACGATGAAGTTTTCTTCTACTATAGCATTTAAAAAATATTACTTAAATATTTTTCATACCCAACCGTAAACTAAAACAATTACTATTGTGTATTTCTTCATTTTAACTAAATTGAACCAAACTCAATAATGAAATTTAAAGCTGAAAAATAAATTAATATTATTTATTATTCTCATACTATAATTATCATAGAGATCATTGTAGAATAGGTATAAATCTCATTTTTCTTTTTTTTTTTAAATAGAAACAATTTTCATTTTAAATGGAAACATTATCAATACATTCCACGTTGGCAAAGTTATCTTTTTATTTAATTTTAGGTTGTACTTTATATCTTTACTACTTTTTGGCACTTTTAAAAATTTTTTAAGTTTACAATGGCTTACATTAGCTATGTCCTTGATATTTTACAAAATTTGGAAAACTTGTCAACTATTTTTAAATGTCTTATATCTATCGACCAACAGATTTGTCTGTTTAGTCATGTCGTGTTAAAATTCCTTTTCTTGTTTAGCCATCAAATAAAAATCAGAAAATGAGCAACATTGAATTTACAATGCTTCCTATTATATTCTTCGAATATTCTTTTATGTGCAAAACCTTGAAAGTCAAGTCGATCTCATTATCTCCCTAACAGCTTTTGTTTCGCACTAAAGGCACATTTCTGTAAAATGTTACCTCATAGCATAACTAATTCTCAATAGAAACCGAACGTTCCCTCTTACCGCAACTTCAACAGTGTTCAGCGATTATCAACGCAATTGTTGCTTGCTTAATTTACAGATCGTTGGGCTTCAACCGACTGTGTCAAACGGATCAGCGATTACAGCGTCTATTGACCTTTACCGATCCACACAACACGAAGAGTCTCTTTTAGCTAATGAAAAGAAGCGTCGAATTCTAAATATGTCACTTTAATTCCAATCTACTCATCATTTCGAAGATCAACGTATCTGCAATAAGCAATTAATAATTCAGTGAACCATTAAATCTCAAATTGACAAAGAAGAAGGCAAAAAACAACTGAGAAAAATCTCTATTATCATCCTTAAACTACCCTAAATAGATTTAAGAAAAATTTAAGCAAATACAACTATTTTATACGACATAGAGAAGAATAAGGGGAATAAGAAGAGGAAGAGAGGAAACGAGAGACTTAAGTAAAAAAAAGAAATTCATGAGAGACAAAAGTAAATAACTAAACGTTCTTGGAACGCTGTATGGTGAAGAAACAGGAAGGAACGGGTGTGTACAGTGATGTATTAGAACGCTTCTGACGGAAGAGAGAAGAAGAAGAAGAAGCATGGAGAACACGGCGATTGCTCTTGACTCGACGGTCAGGAGTCAGGATTCGAACAACTCGAAGGACTCGAAGGGATCGAAGGAGTCAAAAGATTCAAGCACATCCGACTCGAAGCCTGAAAGCTGTCTGGAGTCGAAGCACTCGAAGGAGATCCTTATTTCTGAGAAACAGCAACGGCAGCAACAACCAAGAACACAGCAAAGTCCAGACGATAGGCAGAAACTGAGAAGCACCGAGTTCAAGGATGAACCGAACATCCTGATGTTCACCTCTTGTGGGCAGTTGCTCCTTGGTAAGTTTGTTTTTGGAAATTTATTGCAGCTTTATCTGATCATTTATGTGATAGATATGGTAGAGTTTAAGAGAATATTGTGAAGTATAGAAAGTGTTATTAAATTGAATTTTTGTAGATATTAATTTGAATATCCTGAATCTTTTTCTAAATTAATAAAAATTGTATTTTTAGTTGAATTGTTATATTTCCACCTAAATAGTAATTTTTTCTTTATCAAAGTATAAAATTACTTTTATCACATCATTCAAACATTTTCTACCATTACAATATTTTATAAAAACTACTTTTAATACTGTTGTTAACGTTTATATACCGCAATAATAGAATTTTATTTTTTTCTTTTCGAAAATATATTTAATTTTACTAGCAGTTCGCCCTCACTTCTTCAAATAAATTATCGATAAATTTTTGAAAGTAGTTTCAACATAAATATAAGTAATAATTCAAGAACATGCGTTCCCCTTCAGTTTATAAATTTTCCTTCGATTAATGTTAACAAATTCAATCTTGGATCGTGATGAACACCTGTTTATGTAGCATCTAGGAAAATGATAAGCTTGATAGTTGAAAATCGGTCGAAATCTGGTTATCTGGTAATACTGGCTGCAAAAACCCGTTTGATCAGAGTTAATCCAATTAATAACGTCATAGATTTATGGCAAACGCGTTCATCAGGAGTTTCAGTTTCAACTAGATGGTGAATTCCGGATTAATTAAACGCGATCCCTGATAGTGAATATTATTTAAATTAATGTAAATATATGAACCAAACAAGTCCATTCGTTCTTTGGTGCCTTTCGTGCATCTGGTTTAAAAAAAGAAAGTTGTGTCCATTGACATTAATTGATACCCATTGGACAAAAAAAAAGAAATATATTTCTAGTTAAATTTTTGAATATTTCAAAAGTAATTCCGATAATAAAGTAAAAATGAAGAGAGGAACAAGAAGACAAAATGCGAATATCGGTAATCACTATAATACAAAAATTGAATATTTTTAGCGAGTAATAAATTTGGAAATTATCATCTATATAGTATGAAAATTTTTAGTTGAGAGAATATTTGAATTCAAATACAGATTTCGATTGTGTGGTTTCTACTTTCGCGTAGTATCTTGATTGTTTTGAATTTCTGTAAATGAATTACATACGAATTTCCACTACGCGCCCACTGAACAGACATTTCTCCAAACTACATAGAAATCGGCGTAAAAGTGAAAACATTTCACTTAGAAAGTCATACTTGTGTAACTCTTTCCGCGGGTTTGCAAACCGTAGAAAATTACCACACTGCAATTCATTGTTATTCGATGTTTTCTGGTGGCAATTTAATGATTACAATTATTACAATACCCGTGTACACTACTATTTGTACAGAGAACAAAAGTAAATATTATTTAAAACAAAAGTTATAGAACATATCCCTTGAATTTTAAAAAGAATTTCAATTTATTTTTTATCTTGTCACAAACCATTCGTAATTAAAAGATTCGTTTAATTTCTCTAGGTTGTTTAGTTGAGTATTTCTATCTATTATTAACTCATTGTATGTCTGTCACGCAATATTGCATGACTCCACATACTATTAAATATATGCTTACAGTTTAGCATTAATTTGAGCATTCTGCTAAAATTAATATATTTTCATTGAAAAAATATACACATATATTACTTTATGAAAATGCAAAAAGTTTTGAATGTATATTTATTCAAATATTCAGTCCTTGTAATAAATAGAATTTAATCATCATACAATGTTTCTTATGTTAACAGAATTTCTGTTCTCTACATTAAAAATTAAGAAACTTGAGGCTAAAAAATATAGGGAGTTAAATGAACTGAAATAAATAAAAAATTTATATATTAAAAATCGAAGTACTCCATGTACTCTCTTTTTCATATTAGGTATCACTGAGCTTCGAATATAATATAACTAAATTATTGAATTGAACATTTTCCAGGTATAGTCCTCGTCGTATTCGGAATCCTGGTGCTGGTCCATGGCGCCGCGTTGGGTGCTTCCGGTGCAGGATTGTGGGCAGGTGTGGGTGCCCTTGCCGCAGGAGCGTTGGGTGTTGTTGCGACGCTTGCAACATCGACGAGCAAGACGAATTCCAGCTTTTCTACGGCTCACCTTGCAGCAAGCCTGATTGCCCTTGCCCTTTCGAATATGGCTGCAATTACGGCCTTGACTGCTATCGTCAGGGACTCCCAGAGGACACCGGAAGTGACCTTGCTCACTGTTCCGGTACGTATTGTCTGTACTTTCACCGGTACCCTCCTTTCCTATTTCTTTTCTTCGTGAATATTACTGTACGATTGTAACACTGCAGGAATAATATTTGCAATTTTCCTATGTGGTTTCTCGACTCTTTTTTTCTGAATTAATATACTTATTTCCTCCAAATTTTTGTATAACAAGTAACAAGTATGAAGTATAATGGGTACATTGAATTTTAAGACAGTTTAATGCAGTATATTTTTCTTTCTTTCTAATATTTCCATAACTACATATAGATTTGTACAGTTATATTTATACTTTGTATTATAATGTTAATTATGGGTAACATTATTTATTATTGAGAAATCGTTTTAACAAAACAAAAGTAATGCCAGGTTAAATTAAAAGGAAATTCTATTAGAATAATTATTCCAATTTCGTAGATATTTTCTACTTTGAGTAACTTGAAACACGATTTTGTCTTTGTCAGAATATTAAATAATTCCCAGTGTAAATGAAACATTTCATAATGGACTATCAGGAATATAAAAAAAATTAATTAACAGCGTACTTCGTTATCTGGAATCTATCCATCTACGCAGTGCAGAATTATTTAAATAATATTTACAGAAATAAATTAAAAATGGTGATCTTACCTAAAAAACTATATACCCCAGAAAGTTACTAAAAATCTTCAACAAGTATTTACGGAAGTAAATAAGTTATTTAATCAATATACTCTATCGATATAACCCTCGACAGTTTCCGTTTCCTTAAACCAGAGAGTTACTAAAATTTCTCACTAAGTATTTGCAGATATAAATAAAAAGTTATTTAATCAATATATCCCATCGCCATAAAGCTTTTCGACAGTTCTCATTTCCTTATTCCAAGTAGTTATTAAAAATGTTCGAAACTACGAGTAAACAGCCACCACGAAACTAACAATATATAATTGCATTTCCTATTTCCCATTCCACCGGTTTTCAACGCGAGTATCGTTCATGTAACCTATCACATCCACGGTGATAACAGAAATTTGCACTCCGTGGGTTGCATTAGCAATAGACTGAGATACATATTATGACACCAAGGTATCAATTACGATCAATCATTAGCGAAGCGATAAGTATAATTCAATGCCCGGGGAGATTCTCTTGGCGCGTGCCTATTCCGTGAAGCTACCAAGAAGTTAACGGTGACTTCATCAGGAAATTATTACCGTGCTGTCGTTGAATGCCTGCTGCTCTATGAACGGGAAGCAGGGCCTGTGAGGACCGATAAAAATTTCACACATCGATGGATAAACTGGTATAAACATGAACGCAAACACAGGCCACCTTGTTCCTTGGCTTTTTCTTCGTTTCATTCAGATATATTGATACGTGTCTGCGTAAGTCGTATGAATTTACGAACTTTATTATAGCGGTATACGTAACTGTGTAAAAGCTCACGAATAGGGACACTGTTAATATCGTGGTGCGTCTTAGTTCGCCTTTCATCGTCGCTAATTGGGAAGATAAGTAACTTTGGAGACAGGTAGTCTTCGTCTGGGATCTCGCGCTACGTATAATTTCGCAAATATAAATTTGGTGGCTGTTGTTCGGTTATGAACACTACTAGAATTACGTGGTGGAATGTGGACTGTATTTCAAGTTAATTGAGAGTAGCTGAGTTTTGTTTGGGACAAGGTTTATTTATATCGAGATAGCTGTGGGATGAGAAAATACAATTTCGATATTGGCAATTGGTAATATAATAAGACTGGAATTACCAAACCTGTTAAAATGATTCCAGAATTCTTGTTTTTATTAATGTTAATTTTTAGTCAGAGGAAAATGTGGTTGCACGTGTTTCTTTTTCTTCGTGGTACCACTTCAATTATTGGTATTTGTGTACACTATTTATATTTAGCTTTGTAATACTAGCAAACCGGTTAGGTGATTAATTTCAGAATTTTATTTTTACAGACATTGGAAATATGCAATTATGTTTGACAAAATTAATGTTGGATTTCATTAAAATAGATGCCTAATTATTTTCCTCATAACACTTTAAATATTCTTACTTGTATATATTGTATTTGGATATTGTTATGACACGATAGTTCTAGTGTCTGTGATAGTTAGTATGATAGTTTATGATAGTTAAATGAAAATTCCATATTTCCTAAAAAATCAATTAAAATCTTGAAAGAATTTGCTCTTTTACTATTTTTACTGTATATTTTTATTTTTGCTATTCTTTTACTATAGTAATGTGAGATATGGGAACGATGCTTTTGAATTTACACTGACTCAGTATATCTGCTTTTCATTTTAATCTTACAATATTTTGAAAAAGTGTTAAAATAAAATAAGACAGTGCATGGGTAGATAAATCTTTATTTCAAACATTAGAAAGAGTGAAAATGATTCTTCTTAGGAAAGGTCAGCCATAACTGGGGTGTGCTATGCTCAGTTGTACAGAAAATTAGAAAGAAGACTTTATGGCTATGTTTTGACGACCACGAAACGGGACTTTTCTAATTTAGTATTTACCATCCATATTGAAGATAGGATATTTTGTTACCACGCTGAAGAAAGTTGATTCAGAATTTTTAAGAGATTTGAGAATGTCAGGAATTTTAACTATCCAAAGAAATGTAAAACACTATGGAATTTTGACTTTCCTATTTCTGATCAGAGAGTATGTTTAACTTTGAGACAGCGTAATTTTATTCACTTGAAATTAAACGTAAACCGTGAACCATACATTGAAGATACATAATTTAATGAATGTAAATGAAATGTCGCCTTTCTTATTTTACATCTCGTTACCTTTTGATCAAGATGATTCTGTGTGTGTAATGTGTCCATAAATTACACTTTATGATACATGTAATTATGAATATGGATGTAGTACCAGCTTTATATTTATAAACACTGAATTAAACGTAATTTTCATCATTTAGTATTTTAGTGTTCTCCATCAGAGAATTTCTGTTCTAAGAATAGCAATAATTTTATAAACTACATATACTTGTGAATATTAGACATCATCCTAATATTGTTCCTAAATGGTTTATTCTTCAGAAAAGCTTACGGAATACACTACTGTGTAGCAAATTCGTGTCAGATAAAGAACTTTACGTAAAAATACAAAAACATACGATAAAATACGAATAATTATAATTATGGACATTGATAAACTCGGGATACCCTCGTCTAAGTTGTAAGACAACAATGAACCTTCTAACGTTCTTACTTTTTACGTATTACTTTGTTTTAGATAAAAATCATGCGCTTTTAGATAAACTCACATTTTTTCGAAAATTGTGGGTGATAGAGCAATCTTGATTATTCATGATAGGATTCATGTTGAAGATAGTAAGCTCTACGAGAATCACCTATTGGATATTACAGATTAGAGAAGTAGTTAAAATTTGTTGGATAGTGTTATTTATCTATTTCTTTAGAAGATCCTAGCAAACCTTTCTACCAGTATCGAGGATCGCAGTCAATCTTAACGTCTTCGATAATTAACGATGGCTATCGTTGATCGATACACAGTCCAATTAGCAAGCAGCGTCGGTGGCCCAAATTCGTTTCTGATCGGTCTCTCGTCTCAATCGGATCAGCGGGTTTCGGCATTACGGAGCAGCCGGAACAGGGACGTTGGAACCGTTTGACCGGCGGAGAAAGTTACCAATGCCAAGGCTAAAACGCGGTCAGGGCACAGCATCGTGAAATTTCACAAATTGCTTCGCCTCTGGACCCCAATGGAACGCGCCTCTTCCGGTCGATGATCTATTGCGAAACGCTTAGAGATGCAGTAACCTGAATCTAGAAAGTCTTTCACGGGAGAAGCAATTCGATCAACAGACCGATGTATTCGTTGCCCGTTATTTTAAACATTCGTATATTCTTGTAATAAAACTTGAATTTGAATAACTATTGCGATGAAATCGATCGCTGACGCGTGATGATGGATTGGAGGTGTACTGTTTTAAGGATTCATAAATCCTTACAATGTAACTCGATATTAAAGAGCTCTCGTCAAAGGAGAGATTGTGGAGTGATGGATTGGAGGTGCATGATTTTAAGGATTCATAAATCTTTGCAATGTAACTAAAATCTAAATAGATGTCATCAAAGAATGGATCACAGAAGTTGTGATGAATTAGGAGTGTGACATATTATCTCCTTGTAGGTCGTATATCATGTGAGAGATGATAAAATTGAATAAGATTACGTATAGGATCTAACGAAATTTTGTGTGTACAGTGTGCTTGTTAACTTAGGGTAACCTTTTCACTAAGGAACATTGTAATGGATCTCATAGGAACAGTTAGTTTAGTGTTTAAATGTTTTATTGCACTTGTATAGCCTGTGACTAGCCTATAACCATAAGTTACGCTGCATTTCAAGCTGCTGTCTATGAATGATATTTTAGACTAGCTGCATTGGAGATGGATGAATAAGGATTTACAAATCTTAGAGGTTAGTTAGAAATTTTGATTATTTTAAAATTGCTATTTTTTAACTGGTTTGTTAATCTTTGAACTTAATGATTTAATATTAGAACTACTAAATCTAATAGAATTTTGAAATCTATATTATTGCAGTTACTGACAATATGCAACTGTTTTTAATAACACTACCATTGACTTTTATTAAGATAGAAATGTAATTATGTTTTATAATTAAATGTAATTATTTATATTTATATTTATATTCATTACAGGTCAGTAGTTTTAGTGTTAGGAATATATTGAAATTGTAGTTTATAAAGTTTAGATCTTGCTTATAGATTTTACAAGTTAATTGATTTCAGGAAGAGCATTACTTAATTAGAGTTTCACTAAAATTAATAAATTTAAAAACAATAATTTTTAAAATATTTTATATATAGATCCTGATCAAAAAGTAATTCATGATCATGGATTGAAATATTCGATAATGATTAATAACTCTAAAAGTTATCTTAAGATAATATAAATAGAATAACGTGGAATATTCAGCAATTGAATTCCAAATATTTTATGTAAATTCACTATGTGCCTATTAAATTGATCGTCAGCTTAAACATTTGATAGTCTGAAGTTAAATGAGTCTTAAAGGTAACGATGTTAGGTCAAGGCAAATAGACTTTGACGAATATAGATTGCCGAGGCTTCGTTCAACCGTTTGACAGGAGAAAGTCTCCTGAAGTAGAGATGTACCTTGTACCCCCATATTTATCTTCATTTTTCACTTGAAGGAGTACCAATTTACCATTCCTCCTGCAATAACTTGCTTCACATGATTGTTTCGCATGTTTCGCTTGCCTTTCATCGCAATATTATCACACTTTGCAACCTACATACCTGTGTTAAAAAATATACAAAAACCAGTCAAATTTTGCAGTTCTATCTTATATACGATGTAATATTGCAAAATATAAATACTATATACCAAAGTTAACCCTTTCGCGGTTAAGCATTTCAGCAATTTAAAAAAAAGAAAGCCTTCGTGAAAGAATGTTACGAAATCACTAACTTTGGACCAAAAAATTAGCGATGTTCGAACCACTGTATCTTTGTGAAAAAGGTACGTACAGAAGTTTACCTTTGCTTATTTTTAAAAGCATAATCTCTACTTTTTCTGTACTGGATTGAATTTTTTCAGACATGTTTTATACTTGAATGCAGGGCGAGAAAATGAATGGTTCTATTTCCCAAAAATTTTCTAAATTTAAACAACTTCACGAAGTTGAATAAGTTTTGTTCACGATTCCTTTTACGATGAGTTTAAAGGTAGAAGCCATTTTTACAACTCTTATAGATTTTACAAGTTAATTGATTTCAGGAAGAGCATTACTTAATTAGAGTTTCACTAAAATTAATAAATTTAAAAACAATAATTTTTAAAATATTTTATATATAGATCCTGATCAAAAAGTAATTCATGATCATGGATTGAAATATTCGATAATGATTAATAACTCTAAAAGTTATCTTAAGATAATATAAATAGAATAACGTGGAATATTCAGCAATTGAATTCCAAATATTTTATGTAAATTCACTATGTGCCTATTAAATTGATCGTCAGCTTAAACATTTGATAGTCTGAAGTTAAATGAGTCTTAAAGGTAACGATGTTAGGTCAAGGCAAATAGACTTTGACGAATATAGATTGCCGAGGCTTCGTTCAACCGTTTGACAGGAGAAAGTCTCCTGAAGTAGAGATGTACCTTGTACCCCCATATTTATCTTCATTTTTCACTTGAAGGAGTACCAATTTACCATTCCTCCTGCAATAACTTGCTTCACATGATTGTTTCGCATGTTTCGCTTGCCTTTCATCGCAATATTATCACACTTTGCAACCTACATACCTGTGTTAAAAAATATACAAAAACCAGTCAAATTTTGCAGTTCTATCTTATATACGATGTAATATTGCAAAATATAAATACTATATACCAAAGTTAACCCTTTCGCGGTTAAGCATTTCAGCAATTTAAAAAAAAGAAAGCCTTCGTGAAAGAATGTTACGAAATCACTAACTTTGGACCAAAAAATTAGCGATGTTCGAACCACTGTATCTTTGTGAAAAAGGTACGTACAGAAGTTTACCTTTGCTTATTTTTAAAAGCATAATCTCTACTTTTTCTGTACTGGATTGAATTTTTTCAGACATGTTTTATACTTGAATGCAGGGCGAGAAAATGAATGGTTCTATTTCCCAAAAATTTTCTAAATTTAAACAACTTCACGAAGTTGAATAAGTTTTGTTCACGATTCCTTTTACGATGAGTTTAAAGGTAGAAGCCATTTTTACAACGACCCTCTAAAAGTTGATGCACAATTTTTTGTTAACGAGTTATTTCGCTTTATAATTTAATTTCACAATTTATTATTTACAATGTAGCATCTCAATATTAGTCCGTATTAGTTTTTCAATTTCAGTTAGTATTAATTTAAATTAATTTTAATTAATATAGAATTGCATATTATATAAAAGTACGGTATATTTAATTGTCGATCTTGATACTTAAAGAATAGCTGATGGTAGAGAAATGTAATAAGGTTGCAGGAACAATAGGAGAAGAAAATGATAGCACAGTAGAGTATCGAGTGTCAGAAGTTTCAAGATAATTATCTCTATATGCTTATTAAGTACTGACACGTTAATCAAATTACATATTTCAAAAGCAGATGCACTCCTGTATCTAGAGGCAAAAGTTATTATCAATTTATTGATAATATTATTGATATTATCAATAAAGCTACTCAAAGTATAATACTTTTCATAATAAATATAATCTACAAAATTTTAGATATCTTAGACTTTCTTAGAGGTGATTATAAGTAAAAATGAAAAAAATTAATGATTTACTGAAGGTTATAAAAAATCCAAGTTAATTACTGAAATAGTATAATGTGAATACTAAAATATAATTACATAGCATATAGTTTTCAGACTATCACTAATAACATTTCTGTCCATGCAACATTAATCATTAACAAAGTAGAAGTATGATATGTCATTAAGAACAACAAAGACTATAATTAAATAGACCTCTAGTATGTTACTATATTATCTAATAAATCAGTTTTCCTTAAGCATTAAATTCTATGTTTAAAAAATATTTATACAAATTTTTATTTTTACATAAATAAGTAGATAATTACAAGATAAATGTTACCGTCTGTTTTGTGTCTATATTAATATAATGAACCCTCCAAAACTAATATCCAAGCTAATATCCAAAATTAAAGAGACACAATCACTCTAATTAAGAAACTATATAAAGCTACATTAACTGTTTAAATTTATGCTAATCGAAATTTATAAAAAATTAAAACTTACTGGAATAGTCTCAAACAAGACTGGTAAATGAATTATTTGAAAAACTTCAATCCTTTTCCAAAACGTAACTCAGCTAAAATATGAAGTAGGATGAAAATTCCAAGATCATATCAGTAAAATCAGAAAATAATTCAATATTTAGTACATCACATTTATTAGAGATATGGGTCGTGGTGATGCTAGTGAGTTAAATGGTAAATCATCTTAAGACTATTTTGAAACGCTTATTCATGAGAGGGTTAATAAATCATAATACAACTAAACAACAAAATATTGTACTAATACAGTAAAAAACCTATCACTTGCAGGGTGAAAACGGAGACAACGCTGAAGTAGAGGGTAGCTGGGCAGGTTTATTGGCGAGCATCGGGCTGCTGGTGACTAGCTTGGCCGAATTATTGGTCTCTGGCTATAGCTGCCTGACCTTGACCCCGAAGCTGTGCGGATGTCTGCGAGCGAGCAACGTTGACGAGGCAGCGAACGACGGCCGCCTGAAGACCCGCAACATGGTCCACCAGTGGGTCACCGCGCAGAACCACGTGCCTAAGAGTCAGCCGATTTACGTAGTACAGCCGATGCTACCGATGCATCCGATGATCCAGGTGAGGCCGGATCCTCTCCCACGACCCTTCGTACTCGGCTACTACGGCTCGACCTCCGGCGAACTGGAGGTAGGGATAGGTCAGTGACACGCGAGCTAGAAAGTTCAGACGACGGCCGTCGAGAGAAACTCGTCGAGCAGCCGCTTCGGGCGATCTCCGTGCCTACATTTCGAAGATGCACGAGCTCGGTGCAGGTGTTTCTGTGTCAGCAGGATAAAGCCAGCTTGCCGTCGCTTTTCGGATTCCCTTTGAACCAAGGATGCTTGAGGCGTAATACGCGTTTGCGGTCTGTCGATGCCTGCGAGATTCTTGCGGTGGATGGTTGTGATTGGTTTGGGTGAAGAATGCGCGGTATGTTTGTTCTGGTTCATGGATTTTCTTTTTGACCAGGCATGAGATTGTCTTGCACAGTGGTTTGGTAGTACCTTTGTACCCAAGGTAGGTAGTTTTCAATGTGTGTTTAGGGGAGCACTTGTTTATGGGACAGATGTTTCACTTGTGTGTATTTTTAATTAAGAATTAAAAACTTTATGTAATTCATATGTGTTCTTATATTAAATATTCTATGAATTAACATTGGAACTACTGATCTGTCATGTGGACCATGGATGATACTAATTAATATGGTATAATGGGAATGAATAAATGTATGCAATTATATTTGTATCTTGATAAGAATTAATATTAATTTTTAAATATTGTAAGCTGCAGAGCAGCTGCATGCTTTCAATAACAACAGGTACAAGAAGTCTGGAACTAGTTAAAATGACTAGTTTTGTAGTTCTAATGTTAAGCTGTGAATGCATTAATGCACATACTTAAATGTGTTTGAATGCTCTTGAGATAGAAAGCTATAATTGGAAGGAGGTTGATAGAGTCTGATGAATTGTTAATGATAAATAATTTCGAATGAATTTTCAATGTATTCTATGAATATATGGTTGTTGGATGTTGTTTGTTAAAATATTAGTATTGTTTTATTTGGTAGTGAAATAGGTTGGCTAGATGAAGGATGATATCTAACGAGACGTTGGTAACAGATAATTTAGGAAGATACAGTGAATATGTTTTGTAGTTGTTTTGGGTCTTGAATTTTACTTGGTAAGATATACTTGTTTTGTTTAATACTGAAATGAGTTGGTCAGGAAGAAGATAATGTCTGATAAAACGTTAGTAACGGATGCTTTAGAATGGATGCAGTGAACGTATCTTATGGTTGTTTTAACTGTTTGATTTTATTTGATAATGTATAGATCTTATTTTGTTTAATGGTTAAGTGGATTGGTCAGAGAGTGGTAGATATTTGTTGGAATGCTCTTGAAAGATAATTTATTGCACACACATTTGTGCTAGATGCAGATCGATTAATGTTCCTTTTTAATTTAAAAGCGCTTTGGGAAATAGGTCATACAGTAAGTGATGTGATATGATTTATATCAAATCAAATATACAAAGTAATGACTTAGATGTAAGTGTTACGATTTAATTAATTGTCTCTAAATGGATTCTTTTATTCCTTTTTTTTTCTTGAGTGATCTTTACGCCTTAGATTTTCTAGTAATGGATATTAAAAACATTTGATTTATACAATCAATTAATTTTATTTCAGTTTATAGTAGTCTTCTTTCGATTAATATTAAATAGTATTTAATTGTGCATTTATATTATAATATATTATGTTATATAAGAATAATAAAATAATAACATTAACAGATTTTGTTTTGTCCCAGTCGCCTTATGCAATGCCTGCCGCTTCTGCAAAATTTCCTGGAGGATTCATGCCCGCTGGACCTTTGCCAATAGCTGCTCCAGCTTATGGTGCCGTTCCTATGCTGCCACACATGCCATACGCAGGTCGTCCTCCATCGCAAATCGTAAGTATCTGTAATGATTCGTAGTCCATCCGCAATCCTTCATACGAGGATTTATCATCGTGTCAAGATAGCCAGTCGATATCTTCGGCATCGATTCGACAGTCGTAAATGGAATGCTGTTTACCTTTACATATAATTATATAACAGTGAGAAAAATTCCTAAAACGGTTAAGTTAATTTAAACCGTACGAACTTGTTCGTAATTCCTCTTTCGAAATTTCCTTTAAAAGATTTTAGTATTTGTGAAAGCGAGACGTAACAAAATAATGTAATACCTCGTAGCTGATATGATACAGGAATTATATAAACATTTTCAAAAATTTGTTTATTTTCTTGAAAAAAATTTTAAATGACAAAAAGAAATTTAAAATGACGTTCTGCATGAAAATAGATGACATATTTTTTTATTCGATGATATAAGTGCCATTCTTTATAGGGCCTCGTAATAAGTAAATTAATTAAAGAAATTTACAAAAATTAATAAATTAGTTAAGTTAGTAAATTAATCATTTATTATTATTAAATATCTATTTAGATAATTATGTGACATAACTTCAGGAAATATGTATTTATTATAAACATCTGAAGAAGACATTTCTTTGTTATAAAAACGTTTGTATTTTATTCACGATTAAGAATTATCATCAATCAATAGTACTTAATTTTAGATTCGACCAAAACAGAAACGTCATATAAATATGGAACATGAGGACACTACAGAAAGGAAGAAACAAACTGAAAGAAAAACAGAATCCCCAAAAAGAATGTCTTCTATAGGAGAAGATCAAGTAGATCTAGCTCAAACTTATACAGGATTGGACAAAAAAATCTCAGAAGAGTTCATTTCAATCGCTATGGATCCAGAGAGGAAGTCAAAAGCTTCTAGCAGTCATGGTAGCGAAATCGGTACCGGTAAAACCACTTGAAGACATAATATCCATATTTCTGTATTGTATCATGTTATTCTCATTATTAATGTAAAAAAGAAACTTGCATTTACCGATTTAAATGCATCTAATTTAGCACGAAAAAAGAATTATTTATCGTTTAAATTCTTAACGCTTTGAAAACTTGTTGGACTTAAACATCATGTATAATTATGATTGAGGCTTTACTTCTACAATTTTGTTATATCAAATAGATTGTTATAAGTATTGACAGGTACACACTGAAACTTTTAACAATTGCTGTTGTAGATGTTACTTATTAATCTTTGATAGCCTGAACTATTTAATGATATCTGTTTGAAACAGAGAATAGGTACACATTGCTGTGTTTTTGGTTGTATAAAAATGATTATATTTAATAAGTAAGATTTTAAAAATTAGTAAATTTATTTATTTCTTATGATATTTTATACACGCTGTTATTTACTATATGTACATTATTCGTTGCAAAATACAGCAATATATACCTAGAAGAAAAAGTTTCAGGCTTTGGAGGAATAACAACGTATAACTTTGTGTATTTGTTATATAATAATTCCAAAGGTAATCTATAGTTGTAATTTCATTTTATATAATGTAAGATAAAAGTTTAAGACCATTTTTAATTCCGGAAATCTACTTGATATTCTAATCTCTTGTCTAATAATTCGATAATTAATTCTTGAAGTTTTATACTGCCAAAGTTGTTTACTTAATTTCTTAATATATACATATTATATTATTTATATATTATTTTAATATATATATATATATAATCGGTCTATGCAATAGATTTCTAAGAATATTCTTACAACTTTTTATACTTTTGCGAGATTTGTAAAATATTATGCAGAATAATGGTAATCATATTTTACTTAATTCTCTATTTTTCTCTCGTGTCAATCAAATTCCTCGCAAACAATACATTTCGTTATCGTATTTAATTAATAAATTATATTATGATTTGTCTCTTTGCAATCTAATAAATAGTGTAAATGAACTTTAGAATAACATAAATCTAAAACAAGCTGTACAAATACTGCAATTAACTTTTAAAAAATATTTCATCATATTTAGTTTAAAATAACGATTAATACAAAAATATTTCAAATGAGTTACAAGAACTGCAAAGAGTCAAGAATTAATAAAATGATATATTACATTGAAATGTTTAATGCATTCTTTTAAATATGATTCTGTTGTGTAATTGTGCAATAAGATAAACTTCTAAGATACCTGATATTAAAATAGGTATTTAAAGCATACATATGTCATTAAATACATGTAAGTAACGTAACTAGACTTCAATGCATAAAATCGTGCAAAGCGTCTGTAATTATTGCTTTCTTCTATAATTAAGCCCGTAAAATGTTACACTGATACTGATTTAACATCGTCATGCTATTGTACAGTCATAACATTACTACTCGAAGTTGATTCGACGCAGACTCTGTCGTGTATATATAATATGTAACATGTGCTGTTATGAATAAATAAATTTTAAAAATAACAAATTTTAACTTTTTTACCTAATCTGTAATTTTGGTGATTCCTTTTGAGTTTACTTCCCTGAACACGAATCCGTAATCGAAATTGTTCTGTCACCCTTAGTTTCCAAAAATTGTGAATTGTTCTAAAAACGCACGATTTTTGTCTAAAATGAAGGCTTATATAAAAACGTAAGAATGTTAAAAGGTTCATTCTTGTTTTACAAGTTAGGTGAAAATATCCTGAGTTTATCAATGTATATAATTATAATTATTTGTGCTTCTGAATAACTATAATTAATCAACAGAATTTAAAAATAAGCCCCCGAGCGTACTTTCTACGCATGTTCTTGTATTTTTGCGAAAAGTTCTTTATCTGACACGAATTTGCTACATAGTAACGTACTCTATAGGCTTTTCTGAAGAAGAAAACACTTAGGAACAATATTAGAATGATGTTTAATATTCTCAGGTCGATAAAATATATGTCTGGAATCTGTAAACGGGATTTTTCCACCACATAATCATTATTCGCACATCTAAATTTATCAGGGTCGTTGTTATGCGCAATCAACACTAAACTCATCATCCAATAAATCTTATTTTTTATATGTATAACATGCATATGCTATGATATGCTTCTTTATACTAATCGGAAAATTATAAAAACCACTTGTCATTTTAAACAGGTTCGTTCTTCGATGCATAAATATGAATGACTTTTTCATAGAAAACAGTTAAAAAATAAACTCCCAACCAACTTTTAAGATCTTCCAACAATCTTCCAACAATTTTACTATGCGTATACTTCATTTTAGCCAAAAATATAGAGGAAATAAAAATATTTTAACATACATATACGTATCAAAGAAATTTATCCTATGGAGGCGCGAATGCAGTTTTAGTTTATAAAACATGTATAAATTATCTAATTTATTATTAATAACAAATTAATAATGAACGAAAATTTATAATGAAAGTGGAAAAATTAATAAATTATTGGCACCTACTTGAATTTATAACGTAAGTATATTAAAATGTAAAAATTGTTTACAAAAAGTTTAAAAATTATTACAATTGTTAACAACAAATTAATATTGTTAATAACAAATTGCTTTAATTTCTCGCAACGTATATTTATAATAAAAGTGGAAAAATTAATAAATTATTGCCTACTACTTAAACAAACTACGTATTTGTGTTAGAATATATTCGGAACTTACAAGAAGTTAATAAATTAATAAATTTATTGTTAATAACAAATTAAAATTGTCGATAACAAATAGTTTGCAACCTATATTAACGATAAATGTCAAGAAAGTTAATAAATTATTAGTTATTACAGCGGAAAAGTAACTTTTCAAGGAATCGGTAAAGTTCGGAAATTTTCGCCGATCTTCGCCCGGCCGCCGCTATATAAGGGGC